TCTCCTGCTGGCATCTGCAACGTCCTGGTTTGCAATGCCCTGGCTTCCAGGGCCCCGAGCTGTATAGAGAGAGAAAGAGAGAACAAAAAAACAAAAATACTATTATGACCAAGACTCGATGCGGGAACGTCGGTGTCAATCTTGGCCATCGTCCACCTCGGCTATCGTCCGTCCGTGGGTCACTCCCGCGAATCGGCACGGACCACGACCAAAGCCGGCGTGGGCAGAATCCCGCGACATCCGCAAATCCTCGTCGTCTGGTTTTCGGGTCACACCTCGGGTCTCCGGTGGCCCTTCGGGACGGGTCGGTGACCCCCAGAGCGCCTTCGGCGAGACGCAGCCGCTGGAGGGCATCTCGAGGTCGGGAAACCGCTGGGTAACGACGAAAACGCCCGAAAACCTCGGACATCGAACATCGTACCCCCTTGGCCATGGTCACCGTTAGAAGCCAATTTGCAGAAGCTCTTGATCGTCCTCACGGCGCCCACTATCGCGTCCAATCGCGCTAAACAGCGGGCGAGACGGACGTGGTGCATCTCCCTCAATGGCGCCATTGGGCGCTATCGGGCGCGGTGCGCCCGCTATATTGGGCACGCTCGGTATCGGACGCCCTTCGGCGGTATACGTCCAATGCGAGACGAGCGGAAACTTCCGCTGCTTTTCTGTGTGATCACCGTGTTTCTTCTCTCGATGAGTTCGGGGGGTCCGAAATGGTATGGTGGCGGACCGCGCGGTGACCTCAGAATCCCAATCGACATCACCGCGAGGTCCGTCGTCGTACGGTCTTGGGATCTCGGAGGCCCCAGTCCCCCGAGACGTCCTTGGAGAACGACCCGAGTGCCAAAACCGTGCGGTGATCCCGATGCCCCGTAGACCTCACCACACGGCGTTGCCCCTGAGATCCGACGTCGCAAACAAAAAATGCGACCTCACGGAAAATCGCAATCGGAGACCTGGACCCCCTCCTTCTGTTTCGTTCCCCGAGCCGGTTCGATCTGTGATACTCCCAGGCTCAGAAAGCCGGGCGTACACGCAGAAGCAGAACATTCAGAATGCTTGCTTTCTGGGCCATAACTCCGTCCTTCGGCGGCCGTCGGGGACGATCAGGGCATCCCCAGAACGCTTTTGGCGAGGCACAGCTGCCGGAATGCATCCCGAGGTAGGGAAGCTATCAAGAGCCGACTCACCACGCAGTGTGGTCAGTTCACCGATTGAGGGCCCTAGATGTTCTCTCCCCAAGCTTGGAAGCCTCGCTGCTTCATAGAACCCCAGCTGTGCCATCAATCACACTCGCATTTCGGCTCGCCGTGAACGTGTGTATGGTGTACGTGCGGCGCGCGGCAGCCACTTGGGCCCATGCCTGATCAAGGGGGCTCAGAGCTCCCGAAACGCGTCGCATACACTAGACTGCGTCTTGAACTCGCCGGCGCGCCCCAGGGTGAAGTGACAAGGAGCAGGCCTTCTCAGAAGGCGGCGGGGCTTCTCAGAAGCCCTCGCGCCTCCCGAGAAGTTCCCTGCGTCTTCGGGGAAGGCCGAGGACACTTCTCAGAGGCCCGAGGCCCTCCGAGCCTCCCGAGAAGGCCCGCCCCCTCTCGGACGCCTGCTGGTCTTTAGTCACAACTCGGCTCTCCAGTGGCCATGCGGGACGCTCCGGACCACCCCACGGAACGCCCTTGGCGGCCCCTTGGCGAGGCGCAGCCGCCTGGAGGGCATCCCGAGGCTAGAGAGCCGCGGCGGCCCGAGAGCCTCGAACCTCGAACCTCGAAGACGTCCCTGTACGGCTTCCCCCTCGGGCCGTGGGCGACCCGAGGAGGAGGAGGAGGAGGAGGAGGAGGAGGAGGAGGGGAGGGGAGGGGAGGGAGGGAGGAGGGGAGGGAGGAGGAGGAGGAGGAGGAGGAGGAGGAGAGGAGAGGAGGAGGAGGAGGAGGAGGAGGAGGAGGAGGAGGACGGGCCGCCTAATTAAGCCCTTCGGAGAAGCCCTCCAGACGTCCCCCCTGGGGCTGCCGCCGGGGAGCTGCGCACTGTACACGGAAAAAGCGCCTGTTTTTCTTTGGATTCGGGCAAGTCTACTTGCATGGACGGGGGGGGGGCTGAGTCTGAAGCAAGCCGAAAACAATTCGACGTGCGGAAATCACGCAAGTCGAAAGGCACTTGCACGCTCGTGTTCGATCGAAGAGGAGCGAGGGGGGGGGGGGCGGCGAACGCCATGCAACTAAGCTTGCCTGGATATACAGAAAAACAGGCTCAAAGCTTGGGAGCCCACTGCGTCCGAGGAGGGCCGCCCCTCCGACGGAGCCCGCCGCGCGCGAGCCCGCCGCGCGCAAAGCTCGGCGCGCCGCCGCCGCCGCGCCGCGATGGCCAGTAGATCGCGGCGGGCTGGCGCTCGAAGGGCCGAAGCAGCAGAAGCGCCGCGAGGCGTCGATCCTCCTCCTCCTCCTCCTCCTCCTCCTCCTCCTCCTCCTCCTCCTCCCCCTCCTCCCTCCTCCTCCTCCCTCCTCCTTCTCCCCCCCCTTCCTCCTCATGCTCCTCCTCTGGAGGAGCAGAACTACAGGAACACACTCCTGCTCTAGGATGTTTCGCTTGGTCTGTCCGTGGGGCAACTGGCTACGACGCAGTAGCAACAGGAAGCAATGCGAGAAATAGGCTTTCCCTGGCGAGCGATTATGACGCCAGCTCATTGAACGAAGACACTCGGTGGTTCACCAAAAACGCCGTCGCCAAAATAGAGACCACCACATTCAGTGTTCCGCATCCGGGGCACTTCGAGGCGGCACCGTCGCCAAACTCTGCTGCAAGGAAGAGCTTGACAACTACTGCTCGAAGCTCCAAGTGGAGTGCATGGACTGGCGCTTTACATCCTTGCGCCGCGAACAAGCCACGACGGGAATCTGCTTCGCCATTTTCGGCCGCCGGGGGCCCTCACCAGGCCCCGGGACCGTGAAAAAATTGCTCGGGATGCAACGCCGGTCCCGGGGCAGGGGGTGCAGACCACCATAGGGGTCCACGCTGTGAGAAAGCAGGACGTCTGCTGTCTGGGTCCTCCTCCTCGCCCTCCTAGCCAGAGGAGAACAAGTGCACCGACATTAACACAAACTTTGGGAGCTCCGCGCGGCCTTCTTGGACCCGCGCTGGAGCCCCCTCCCTGGCGCGCCAAGGGCGGCGCCAGAGGCGCCGCCAGGTGGGCCCCGCGCCGATCCAGGAAATACGCAGGGCACTCCGAAAGTTGATGTCTACGCCAATCTCTCTCCTCTTCTCTCCCACCACCACTATGCTGAACCGCCGGATTCGTCTGCCACCGCGAACATAGACTTGGACATCTCCTTCATGGTAATACCAGTCTAGAGGCCTCCTAGATGGGGTCGGAGTAGATGGGGTCGGAGGATCGCGCCGCATCTTGGCGATGCATCGAGAATGCTCCGGCGTTGCATTGTCGACGTCGGCGATGCATCGGCGACGTCGACGTGAAGCAAATCAGGCCCCACATCGAGGCGCATCGGCGATGCAGCGGCGATGCGGCGCGATCCTCCGACCACATCTACTCGGACCCCATCTAGGATTAGGTCGGGCATGTCCTCCTACAGGCGGATTTTGGACGAGAAATAGAAAATAGTCAAAAATTACTTCCACATTGACAAAATGTGTCAAAAAGTCGTTCCCAGGCAATTTTTTGACTCTTGTGAGTATTCCTCCTGTAGAGGAACAGGCCCGACTTAAGCCTAGACTTATGTTGCTCCCATCGTACTTAAAGACCACATCCCAAAAATAATTTCGAGCACCCGGAAAAGTGTCGAAAGAGTGTCGAAACAGTGTCGGACAAGCGTCTCCCAGAGCCCGACACGTGAAAACCCTAGAATTTCGGTATGCTCTGGTGCTCGAAATTCTTTCTGGTGGTCAAGGCTAATGTAGGTCGGAACATCATAAGCCTAGATCGTAACCTTTGCATCCGCCGGCGTCGCACCGCCGTTGCCGCCGTCTCCGCGCGCCCACCCCCGCGACCATCGGGCCAGGCGAAAGGGGGGGGCTAGCAAAGGGGGGCTGTGAGAAGCAGCTCACGTGGCTGATCTTCCCGGCACCTCCTGGCGTCGGAGGCTGCCACGCATCGAGGAATGAGCCCATCGGTGGGGCCGAAACCAGCTGCATGCAGCAGATTTCGTACACCCCCCCTTTCCCGACCACCCTGAAGGGGCCCCAGGACACACAAATGAATACACACACAAATAAACACCCCCCCATATTTTCTCAAATTTGCTGGGTTGTTGTCTTCCCCACCACTTCCCATATTTTCCCATATTTTCCTGAAAATCGACGATTCATGTTGTCTGTATGTTTTTTTCCCTCCTGACACCCCCGCGACTATTTACATGGTTTCGTGCCCCTCCCACACCTCCAGGGAGGCCCCGCCTGAGCGAGGAGGGTATCGGCAAACCATACTATTTACATGGTTTCGTGCCCCTCCCACACCTCCAGGGAGGCCCCGCCTGAGCGAGGAGGGCATCAAGAAAATGGGTCCCACGGAACCGTTAATCTCTTTATGTGGGGAACTCCGTTAGTTTTTTCCCTCCTGACACCCCCGCGACCAGTGCCACACGCCCGCCCTCGGCACGCCCCGCCCGCGACGCCCTGCCTCGACCTGGGGAGGCCCCCGCCCCCCGCAGGCCGTGCACCCGCCCCTCCGATGCCCTCGGCGCCCTCCCTTCCTCCTCCTCCTCCTCCTCCTCCCCTCCTCCTCCTCCTCCTCCTCCTCTCCTCCCCCTCCTCCTCCTCCTTCTCCTCCTCCTCCTCCTCCTCCTCCTCCTCCCCTCCTCCTCCTCCTCTCCTCCTCCCCCCTCCTCCTCCTCCTCCTCCTCCTCCTCCTCCTCCTCCTCCTCCTCCTCCTCCTCCTCCTCCTCTCCTCCTCCTCCTCCTCCTCCTCCTCCTCCTCGTCATCTTCCTCCTCCTCCCCCTCCTCCTCCTCCTCCTCCTTCTCCTCCTCCTCCCCCAGTCTCCCCCCTCCCCCCCCACCCCCCACCAGTCGCCCCCGCGCTCCTCTGGCGCGGGCCCGGCGCGCCGCGATGGGACTGGGATCGCGGAGCGGGCGCCAGGGGCGGGGCCCTCTCCGAGGACGCCTCGGCCACGCGATGTTGCTGCCGAGGTCGCCGTGGCCCATCTTGGGCCCCGACTCCTCAAGACTTGTTGGCGGCGAGCCCGGGTAGAAGGGCAGAGGTCGCGGTGCTTCTCCAAGGATCGGCAGAAGGGTCAGCAGGCCCCGGGCCTGGTGAGCAACTGTCGGAGCCTCCCCCGAAGGCGCAGGCGGCTTCCCAGAAGGCGCGAGGGCTTCTGGGAAGCCCCGCCGCCTTCTCAGAAGGCCTGCACCCCCTCGCGTCCCCTCCGGGCGCGCCGCTGGGCTTGCGGCCCAGCCTGGCCCCCCCACAGGCGGCCGCCGCGGCCTCACCAGGCGAGCGCGTTCTTCTTGCACTTGACGTCCGCGACCGTGGGGCCCTCGAGGAAGCCCAGCTCGCCTGCGACGCTGCCTAAGGGGTCCGAGGCGGACATGCACGCGTCCCACAGCGCCTGTAGGCGAAACGCCTGCGTAAACGTACACCTCTGGAGCTCCTCGCGGACTCCTTGGACCGACGCTGGAACCCCCTCCATGGCGCGCCAGGGGCGTGCCAGGGGCTGCGCCGGAGGCACCGCCAGTGAGACGGGTCAGTGCCGCGCCGATCTCTGGAATGCGTGCTCTCTTGTGCAATCCAGACTTCGACATACAGACCAGCACCGATCCTAAAAATCCACGCGAACCACCCAAAATGATCTTTATGCAATGCGTTCGTCTTTGAGGCCTTGGAGTCTTCCGCGCTGCTGACGGTGAACTCGCAGTTCACGTGGAGCTCGTCTGCTTCCAGGAGGGTGTACAGGCACGAGCGCGAGTTCTCGTGGGGGATCGCGCTGGGGAGCGCGGCGCTCAAGACCACCGTGGATGCGTCCCTGATGGCCTGATGGTGCAACTCCACGTCTGTGCAGTCGATGTCCGCCGTCGACTTAACGTTGAAACTGACGGTGATCTCGTGGTCCGTGTCGTCGTATCCGCCGAGCCCCTGGAGCGTCGCGTTCTGCTTCATCTTCTCCCTCAGGTCCTCCGCGCACCTCGTGGCGTCTTCGACGGAGAACCCGCCGCCGGCGGGCTGGATGTGGCTACAGGGGCTACGAGTTGAGGGTTGCGAGGATTGATCGGGATTGCTTCCTGCTGCGGGCGATTGTTGGCGGGGGTGTCGGCCAAAACGGTTTAAATGCACCGCTGCTACTTCATGTGCTGCCTGTGCTTACTCCGTCCGTGTGCTTCCGTCTGCTTCGCTCTTCCCCGTCACGTATGCTACTACGACGTTCCCATCTGGAATCTATCTCCCCTTCCGTCGCACGGAACTCATCTTTCACAGACTAAATGCTCTTAAGGCATCATTGCTTCTCTAGTGTTCTCTGCCTCTGCTACAACTCATAGGTTTCGGGTCTCCCTCATCATCATTCTTCACATGTGTTTGGTGCCATACCCCACAACGTCCACCTGTTGTTCATCCTCGCCCCGTCCCTCGTCCCATCCTTCTCTTCCTCGGCCTCGTCCCTTGCCCCCTTCTTCCTTCTCCTTCGCCCCGTCTCGCCGTCCTGCTCTAAAACTGCCATGACCCTTGAACTCCTGTTTGGACGCCCGAAATGGGTACGGAAACAATGGGTACAATGCCCAACAACAAATGTTGTCCCAAACCAACAGCGGCCGCTGTTGGGCAGGCGGCCTTCTGTCTCGAATGGACACAGGCCGCGGCGGCGTGGACAGCGAATCCTGTTCAAAATGAACAGGAACTGGTGTTGGGCATCGTACCCAGTCTTTCCGTGCCCATTCCGGGCGTCCAGATCCTGAGACCACCCCCCCCGTGGGCGAGGGGGTTCCGGAGCCTTCTCGGCTCAGGCTGTCTGCGCCCCTAAGGCACGGTTTGATGCCTGCTGGAGACCCAGGTCCTTCTCGCGAGGACCCCCACGACTGAAAGGACCACCCGGACGGTCGACCATGCGCCAACGATTGGAATTCCAGCCATCGGCTCAAGGGTAGACTGACCACGAAGGTCCGACATGCTCAGACGCTCAACGATTGCGACTTGGCATTGAGTGTGGCTGGGCCAAGTGTGCTGCGATGTCTGCATGTAAGTGTGTCGTTTACGTGCTCGCCTGTGTCCGCAGTCATGCGGTCATACGCGTGCGGCTCATTCAACGCACTCGTGCGCAGAGTCACGCACAAGCAAGTTGCAATGCGATGGCTCGCGTGTGTGTGTGTGTGTTCTGTTATGCTGCAATGCGCGCGTACGGTCTCTCTCTCTCTCTCTGTTTCCCTACTCTCTCTCTCTCTCTGTATGCGTAAATGTATGTATGTAGGCATGTGTATCAGTGCGTTGAAGTGTGTTGTGAAGGGGTGCTGCAGATAAATGCGTGTGTGCGGCATGCGTACTTCATGCATGGAAAGGAAGCGTCTCATGTATATAGATCAACATATATAGATATACGCATGTGTGAATGACGGCTGTGCATCATGTGCCTAAAAATGCATGGCAGCGCGCGTGTACACAATACCAACCATGTGTATGACTACCTGTTTGTATTTACATGTACATCTGTATTAGATCAATCGCGCCCACTTCGAGCGCGATCCGGTTCTCCGGAATCCCAGCTCGCAAAGAAGTGCCGAGGGCTGGGCGACGTCTGCGGATATGATTTTAGCCCGAATGCGCAACGGAAGCGCGTAGTGAAAGGCCCTTCCCTGAGCACGGGGGACTCCGGGAGGACGACGAAGAGAACGAGGAGGGCGGTTTGGAGGTCGAGAAAGGGGAGAAGAGTCCAGGAGCATGACGGCGGCGAAGACGAGGGCAGAACGGGAAGGAGGGGCAGGAGCAGAAGGACAAGTGGAGTCCTTGAAGACGAGCAGCAGGAGGAAAACACGGAGACGAGGGGCATCCGTGCCCCCCCGTCCACCGAGCCATCTGCACATCCTGCCACCGAGCCTGGGTTATTGGTGTGACACTTCGTGAATGCCTGTTCGCGTCTCTGTGGAAACCTCTGGGCAGCCTGTTGGAACCAATGGTGCAGCCTCTGAGGACGTGATTCGGAGCCTCTTCAGGGCCTCTTGTCGCCCTCTTAGGTCCTCTAAGGGGATGGGTCTTTGAGGGCCTGCTGGCGATCTTCGGGATCCTCGTGGGGCCGAGGCCTCCAAACATGGGTCCGCATGTCCCCGCCACGAGCCCCTCTTAGGGCCGTCTTGGGCGGTCCTGGGTGCCTCTTGGGCCGTCTTGGGGCCCTCTTAGGCCGTCTTGGGGCCCTCTGGGGGGCCTCTTCGGCCGTTGGGGGGCTCTCCTGGGGGTCTTTGGGCCCGTCTTGGACGCTGGGCACAGGAAAACGACGATTGCGAAAAAAAATTGCGCTTTCCCACGGGGGGGCGATGTTGCCTCTTCTGGTTCTCTTAAGGGTCCTCTTGGAGCCGTCTTGGGGCATCCTGGGGGTCTGCTGGCGATCGCCGGGGTCCTCTTAAGGCGGAGGCCTCGAAATGTGGGTTCAAAATTCCCCCCGCGGTGGCGCTCTCTTCGGCCGCTTTGGGCCGTCATGGGTGCGTCTTGGGCCGTGTCCCCCCCACGACGCAGGTGTGCATGGTGGACGCGCGAAGACCAAACCATCATCCCTGTACGCTGCACGCGGCTGGCCGCCATGGCTTCCTGCCTGTATTTAGGTACGGAGACTAAAGTCAAGCATGTTATCGAAATCGCCACCGTTGTGAAGTTTACGACGGAATGAAGGGCGAACCCATCTCTCGCTGCGAATGTGTACTGCGTGGGTCCCTCTTGGCCCGTCATGGGGAGCTGAGCCCGTCTTGGGGCCCTCTTGGGGCCCTCTCCGACCATGTAGGGATCCTCTAGTGGCCCCCTCGGGCCCCCTGGGAAGTCTCTTGGGCCGTCTTGGAGCTCTTCTTTTCTGCTTGAAGCTCTCTTCAGGGCGTCTTGGGGCCCTCTTGGGGGCCTCTTGAAGTCTGGGGCCGATTTGGGGAGCCTGTGGGGCCTTCGTGGCCGCTGTAAGGACTGAATAAGCAAATATCCAGGAAATATACATTGTTCCAAAGAAAATGCTTGATTGTTGTTCCCTTGAGAGGCCTTCTCTGCGGCCGTTTGGACCGTCTTGAGGGAGCCCTTTTGGGTCTTGTTGGCCTGTCTGCAGGCCCATTTCGGCTGTCCCAGGTCCCTCTTGGCCCCGTCTTGGGGCCCTCTTGGGGCTCTCCGACCTTGTAGGGATCCTCCGGAGGCCCCCTCGGGCCCCCTGAGGACCCTCTTGGGGCCGTCTTGGGGCTCTCCTGTGCTGCTTGATGCTCTCTTCAGGCCGTCTTGGTGCCCTCTTGGGGGCCTCCTGGGCCGTCTGGAGCCGATTTCGGGAGTCTTTGGGGCCGTCGTGGCCGCTGTTAGGACTGAAAAAGCAAATATCCCGGAAATACATGTTTTTGTCCATCGAAAATGCTTGATTCTTGCCCTTGGTGGGCCTTCTCGGTGGCCTCTTGGACCGTCTTGAAGGCTATTGTCGCCGTCTAAGAGCAGTCTTGGGCTGTCTTCGAGCGCTCGTGGGCCGTCTTGAGGCCATCTGAGTGCGCTCTTCAGCCATCTTCCAGACAACCTGCGGGCGCTTTGGGAGCCTCTTGGGCCAGCTTGGGGGCCTCTGGGGGGGTCCAGGGCCCTTTCTGGGCCCTCTTGGAGCCCTCAAAGACCCCCTGGACCCCATGCAAACCCAAGGTCGTGGTTCCGAGCCCTCCCCCGGCCCACCCTGATATACATATATATATATATATACATACATGTGTATATATATATATAGCTACATATATATGTATATATGTGTAGACGTGTGTGTGTGTGAGAGAGAGTATACTATTGTATACATGTCTATGCATGTATATATACATACATACACACATGTATATGTGTATATGTACGTATGTATGCATATGTGTGTATGAATGTATGTGTACATGCATGCATGCGTGTATGTTTGTGTAAACAGATGTTTGTGTAAATGGAGTTGTAAATGTATGTGTATATGTATGCGGATATGTCTATGTACACGTATGCAGGTATGCATGGATGTCTGCATGTATGCATACACTCATATGTACATAGGTATGCATGTATATACATACATGTTCACATGATTACATCAATACGTACATACATACATACATGCAACATGCCTACATATATACGCATACATGCATGCAGACATACATTAACAACAAAACATACATACGTATATAGATATATACCGCTACTCTCCCCGCAGTTGCGGACTATAGTGAGGGGGCAGCGGGGACGTCGGCAATCTGCGAGGCTCTTAAGAAGCCCGCCGCCGGCGCCGAAACTATACACATCATACAACGAGCTCGCCGCAGGCGGCGATATTTTTGTTTAAGCAATGTGGGTGGGTCGCCGGTGGGTCGCGCGCGGGACGCGGGATGGGTCGCGGGTGGGTCGCGGGTGGGTCGCGGGCCAGGTCGGGGGTGGGTCGCGGGTGGGTCGCGGGTGGGTCGCGGGTGGGTCGCGGGTGGGTCGCGGGTGGGTCGCGGGTGGGTCGCGGGCGGGTCGCCGGGCGGATCGTGGGTGGGTCGCCGGTGGGTCGCGGGCCGGGTCGCGGGCCGGGTCGCGGGGGGGACGACGCCAACAAACAACAAACGACAAGCAACAAACAACAAACAATAAACAACAAACAACAAACACTGACAACCACAACAACAATAACAACAACAACAGCAACAACAACAACAACAACAGCAACAACAACAACTACAACAACAACAACAACAACAACAACAACAATATGCACCGCAAAACCTCGCCCCAGCCACGCGCCCAGGGACAGTGAATGACCGTTCGGCCCACTCATTCTGATATATCAGTATGTATTATATCTATACACATGCGTCTTCATCGATCTATGCACGCACATTCATATATAGAAAACGTAAATGCGCACACGCGCATGAGCCCGTACATCGCAAATGCCATCTACACGTGCGTCCGACTTGACTGCTCATTGAATGCACCATGAACGCGCAGGATCCAATCACAACGCGACATGCATCCACCGCGCGAGAGAAAAAGAGGGGCGATGCAAGGATACTCTGGATGTTGGTGAGGAAAAAATGTTTTTTCCATGTTTGGGGATAGCGGCCGTCACCACCCCCGCCCTCCCCCAGATGACGTCCCGTTCCGCGCCGGCGGCGTCCAGGAATGCTTAGGGATGACCGAAGCCAAATCAGAGCAGCATGTAGCTGGCGACATACACCACAGCGCCTGTGTACACCACACTGCTCGCGTGCACTACAGCGCGCGTGTACAGCACAGCGCCTGTGTACACCGCCTGTGTACACCACAGTGCCTGCGTGTACCACGGCGCCTGTGTACACCACAGCGAACGAGCACACCGCAGCAACCATGTCCAACACAGCGCCTGTGTACACCACAATGCTCGCGTGCACTGCAGAGTCTGTGCAAACACGGCGCCTGCGTACACCACAACATCCTCGTGCAACGCAGAGCTGGTGTACACCACAGCGTCTGCGCGCACAGGACGGACGGCCAATTCTGCAGGAGTCTTCTGAAAGCAGATGGGGGGAGTCAGGATGATGCGGGAGAACCCGTGAGGACTTCTAGATTCCAGAGGCGCTCTATTTTCAATAGAAAAGATTTCTGTCCAAATCTTGTATAAAACACGTGTTCTGGAATCCACAGGCACTCCATGTCCAAACAATGTTATACAACAATGGTGCTCTGTTGCGCACGGTTCCTGTGGTGCACACAGTCGCCGTGGTGTGCACAGGCGCTGTGGTGCACGCAGGCACAATGGTGTACACAGGCGCCCGCCACCACTCTCCTCGACTGGGACTTCGGGCCGCATCGGCCAGTTCTCCTCGAGGTTGCCACCCAGAAGGTCCAGCCCTGGATCCAGGTCATGCGAGCGCCCAAGCCTTTCCCGCGGCCGCTCCCTCTGGGCTGCTGCTCCCAGGACTACGAGCCAGCCTGGGCCGACGTCCGCTCCAGGATGACCAGCGGTGCCTCTGTGGACGAGGCTTGGAAGGAGGTCGTCAGGATGACTGAGACGGCCCTGATCGATCGGTGCGGCCTCAGCGAGCAGGGCAGCAAGTACCGTGGTAGGTAGGAGTTGTCCACGCTGCAGCGGGTGCTCGCCAGCAAGCCCAACCTCCCCACGCACCCCAAGCTGGACTCCAGCACACCAGTGGATCTCCCAGTGGGTGTTCGAGGCGCGCAGGGCCGCCTCGCTGAGCACCACGCACTCGCGCCTCGACGGGCTGCTCAGCCTGCGCAGGCTCAGCTCCAGGCTGCCGCCCAACGCCGACGGGGACATGGCCGACCAACAGCGACTCAACATGTGCAAGGCGCTGGCGTTCATCGGCAGCGTCTTCGACTCCCTCGGCGTGCCTTCGGCAGGGTGCCTCGCGGAGATCGCCGGCGCCATCGCCAAGCAGTACATCGAGGACGCTATGAAGCTGGCGAGGAAGCGTTTCGGCAACGGGATCGACCAGCAGCACGCGCTGGGCGGCAAGGGGCTGCACGCCTTCACGCGCGAGCCCATGCCTTGGCACCCTCGCCCGCTGGCCGCCGACGCGCCCGACGGCGAGGACGAGCCGCCGCTGCCAGTCCCTGCCGACCAGCAGACCTGCGTGGAGTGGACGCGCTGCGCTACTGGAGCGTCGGCGTGGTGCCGCCGCGGTGGCCCGCCGACCTCGGCGAGCGGCCCCCGCGGCCATCCGTCGCCCGCATGCGCGAGGTCTTCCGCAGCTTCGCCGCCACCACGGGCACGAGCTTCGACACGTTCTGCCCCCGCGACTTCGACGCCCTCGACGACGGCGGCGTCAAGGCCATCACCGACCTGCTCATGAGGGTCGAGCAGGAGTGCTGCTGGCCTCCCTTCATCAGCAAGCTCGTGTTCATCAGCAAGAGGGAGGGTGGCGTAAGGCCCATCGCCCTCCTCGCCGCTCTGGTCCGCGTCCACGGGCGCCTGCGGCGAGACGTCGATGCCGCTTGGGAGAGGGCCCGCCCCAGGGCCTTCTGGTGGGCCTGCGCAGGCAAGGCCTGCGAGCGCGCGGTCTGGCAGCAGCTGGCCTGGAGCGAGTGGCTCAAATCCAAGCTCGGCGAGAGGCCCGACCTTGACTGGAGCTCGGCGGCGGTCATCCTCGACATGTGGAAGGCCTTCGAGCAGCCGAGGCACCAGCACCTCATCGACGCCGCCGTGCAGCACGACTTCCCTGTCTGGGCGGTGAAGCTCCAAATCTCCCTCAACCGCATGCCGCGGGCGCTGGAGCTCAACGGCGCGGTCTCGGACCTCATCGAGGTGCAGCAAACGGCCCTCGCTGGGGACATGTGGGCCACCTTCTTCATGAAGCTCATTCTCCTTAGCCCGCTCGACCGCACCCTGCGGGCCTCGCCGAGCATCGCCCCGTCGGTCGCGGTCGACGACCCGGTCTCCCAGCGGGCTGGAGGCAGCAGGCGCGTGACCGACGACCTCGTCGCCAGCGCCGCCAGCGTCGTCGGCGAGCTGCGCACGGTGGACATCCACGTCGCCACCAAGAAGTCGCTCCTGCTGGCCGACACTGAAGGGGCCCTGGGACACACAAATAAATACACACAAATAAAAATATTCCCAATAGTTTCCAATATTTTCTGGGTTTTTGTGTTCCCGCCCAATTCCCAAATTTCCGAATATTTTCTTGGGAATCGACGATTAATTGTGTCTGTGTGTTTTTTCCCCTCCTGAGACACGCCCGCAGCGGCCGCGGCGCTCGAGAGCCGCCTGTCGCGGGCAGCCGAGGCGCGGCCAGCGGGGGCCGCCCGCAACCTCGGGGTGGACGACGCCCTGGCTGGGCGGGCGCCCAGGCTCGTCCGCCGGCATCGCCCCGAGCAGGCCGCGCGGCGGGGCCCTCGCCTCAGGAGGCCGTTGGGCCCAGGGCGCTGCCGCCGCGTCGCGGCGAGGATCTTCAAGCAGGGGCTCGAGGCCAGCTTCGCCCACGGCGTCTGCCGCGCGGGGCTCCGCGGCGCCGGCCTCAACGTCGCGCGCGCGCTGGCGTTCAGGTCGGTCGAGATCGGGCCCTCTGGCAAGAGCCGCGCCGCCGTCCTCGCCACCATCGGCAGGGACTGCGACCCCGTGTTCAAGGCGACTCGCGACCCAGCGCGCGCGCTGCACTGGGCCGTCTGGGAGCAGTGGCTCCCCAGGCAGGCCCTGGACAAGGTCTTCGCGGCGGCCCTGGCCGCCTCGGGCAGCTGGGCCGACTGCCGCGGCCCCGTGGAGGCCGCTCTCCTCTCCATGCGCCGCGCGGGCTGGGAGGCGGCTTCGCTGGGCGCGTAGGCCACGCACGACGGCTTTCACCACAGCGTCAGCGACGCTTGCCCGTGGCCCACCAAGAAGCTGCCGGGCCGCTGCTGCGAGCACTGGCAGGCCAAGCAGCTCAGCAAGCACGACGCCTCCTGGCTCGACGTCGGCATCAACTTCGGCCAGCTTCGGCGGTGGACGGCCAGCGGCCGTGGCACCTCCCAGGAAGCGCGGAGCTGGCCCAGCCTCAGCAGCGAGCAGCGCGGCTACCTCAGGTCCTGCATCGTCGGCGGCCAGTGGACCAACGCCAGGAAGTATAGCAACAACCCGAGGTGCGCCCCCTCGGACCGCTGCAAGCTCTGCCCCAACCAGGTCGGCAACGTCTGGCACAGGAACTCTGCTGCAGCGCCAACGGCCTCAGCCTCCCGCGCGAGATCGCCCTGCCGCTGCCGCAGAAGAACATCGCGGTCGTCAAGTACCTCGTCGAGCGCGTCCTCTTTCCAGCCCCGCGGCTCCAGTGGAGGCCTCCCAGCGGCGGCTTCCTCGACCACCTCCGCTGGCGCTGCGGCGATCCAGGCGAGCCTTTCGCCGGCCAGCCACTCTACTGCGACGGCTCGCCGTGTGGCGCGCAGCTTGCCGAAGGCCGTGGTGCGCAGGCCGCGGCAGCGGTCGTCGAGCTTCCTCCAGGCCCCGAGGAAGTCGACCCAGGCGTTGGCAGCCGCACCAAGGCGCTGGGCGCGCCTCTGGTCGGGCCCTGGCAGAGCATCAAGGGCGCGGAGCTGTTGTCGGTGCCCATCGTCCTGAGGCACGCCATCCCGCCCATCTAGCTGCACTGCGACGCCAGCTTCGTCGTCGACGGCATCAACCTCCGGGGCGAGGCCCGCGCGACGCTGGCGTCTTCAGCGCGGGGGCATCTCTGGCGACAGGTGTGGCAGGCGCTCCACGACTTCGGCGGCGTCGGCCCTGCGGGACTCACGATCGTGAAAATCAAGGGCCACGCCACCCTCGCCCACGTCACCCGCGGCATCATCACGAGGAAGCAGCGCCTTGGCAACTTCGAGGCCGACCACGTCGCAGGCGGGATCGCCTACCACCTCCGCGCCCCCTTGGCCGAGAGACAGCGGCAGCTGCGCGCCCAGCTCTTCGTCGACGGCGTTGCGCACTGGGTGGCCACGGCTGGTATTCCCGCGGCTGCCGACAGGCTCGACAGCACCCACGGCCACGTGGCCGGAGACGAGGCCAACAAGGACCGCCTCCACCTCACCGAGCACTTGTTCGGCACGCTCGCCTCGAACCACTGGCACTGCACGGTATGCCTGCGCACGGCGCGCACCACGAGGTCGAAGCAGGTGCTGTATCGGACCCCGTGCATCCCCAAGATCACCTCGGTGGCCAGGAGGGCGGCGCCGTCCAGCGTGGCAGCAGGCGTGGTCCTAGCGGCGGCGGCGGTGGCAGCTGCTGCAGCCGCCGACGGCGCCGACAGCCAACCAGGAGCTCGGCCCAGATCGGGGCCAGGACCCCACGCCGAGTGCGGTGGGGCAGGCGCCCGCGACCGCAGGCGCGCTCGGCTCGGCCTGCGGCCAGGGCTCAGCGCCGAGCACGGGGGGCCAGCCGCCCGCCCCCGCGGGGGCCACAGCGACCCAGGGTGCCGCCGGGGCCAGCGGCCAGGTCGGGGCCAGACCCCCCAGCGGGCGGGCCTCGGAGGATGCCGCGCGGTCCCGATCCCCACGGCACGGCCGCCAGCAGCGCCAGCCGTCAGCGGGCCCAGCGGTGCCTGCTGGGGGCGGGGGGCGAGCCCGACGCCGAGGACGGCCCGCTGTGGGTGCGCGACGCCCTTGGCCACATCGTGCAGCGCGCCTTCGGCTACGTACAGTGCGCGCGGTGCCACGCCTACGCCAGGCAGCGCCTCGGCAGCATCAAGGCCCTGGCATCCCAGTGCGCCCCGCGCGTGGGCGAGGCGGGGCGCATCCGACGTTTGCGGGCTGACCGCACTCGCAGAGGCCGGCACCCCACCAGTTCGGCGCGCCTCGCGGACGGCGCGGCGGCTGGCGAGGCACCCTCCCGAGCGCTGCCGCCCCCGCCGCGCGGCCGCGCTAGCCGTGCGGCCCTTCGGCGCCACCAGCGCGCCCCCCGCGCCGCGACGGCCCGCGCGTAGTTAGTCGGCGGCCGTCCCGCGCCGCGACGGCCCATGCGTCGTCGGAGGCCGCGGGCCTCCGCGCGCCCGTGGCCTCCGCGCAGGGGGGCGTGGATCACCGTCGTCCTCCTGGGGCGTTGCCCCCCCCCCCCCCCCCCCCAAACAAAAAAAACAGCTGCTGTGGTGTACGCAGGCGTTGTGGTGTACACAAGCGCTGTGGTGCACGCAGGCACTGTGGTGCATGTTGGCGCGGTGCTGCACGCGCCTGCTGTGGTGTTCATTGGCGGTGTGGTGTACACAGGCGCTGTGGTGCACGCAGGCACTGTGGTGTACACAAGCGCTGTGGTGCAGATCGCCACCTACAAGCTGCTGCTACCCGCCCTCGGTCATTCTTAGGCATTCCCAGACGCCGCCGTCGCGAAATGTGACGTCATCGGCCCCCTCCCCGCCCCGCAGGCGACGGCCGTCATCTTCCCGGAATAGAAACACAGGCTCGAAGGAGGCAGATCCGCAGGACGGAGCCCCCAACTTTGCCCAGCAAGGCCGGGATCGCGGACGAGGGCCTGCATTGGATGAGGATGGTGAGGGGAGAGGGGGTGGATGGGGACAGGGGGGGATGAGGAGTAGAGTGAAGAGTGGAAAAGCAAGCGCGAGGGAGGGAAGGGCTGGGAGAGCGCCATGCCAGGACCCATCCGCATTGCGCGGATCAATTGACAACGCCTGCAGAAACCCGTAGCAGCATTGCCAACAGAGCTGAGACATTCAAACAAGTTGTATCGTCTCGCAGGCCAAAGTGCTGGGGGCATAGTTTTGTTTCAGCAAGCTCGCCTGCCGAAAGCATGCTGCTTCTAGAGAGACCGCGGGTGCATCTGGCCCACACCTCAATCCGCATGCGCAAGCCGTGGGATCCCCTAGCCCGTAGCCATCCTAGAAGTGGCACTGCACTCCCGCCTTGCTCATGACGTCGAGCACGCCAGCGCTCCCCCTTCGCAGCGCGGTTGGTCTCGCCGCGCCGGCGCCGGCCGCCACAGCGCAGGCGGCCCCCACGAACAGCACGGCAGCGCAGAGTTCGGTGGCAACTCATGGAAGCCATCTTGCTGGCCCTTGCGCATCCTCGCTGTCCGACGCTAGATCGACACCAAATCGACGCTGATCGACACCAAATCGACGCTGGCGCACGCTAATGCACCCTAGGCATTAGATTCCGAGGCCATACAGTAGGAGCTCGACCACAAGGAACCTTGCACAAGAAACCCAACCCTGAGAACCCAGGACGTCCATTGATTTTTGGTTTGCGAACGTCACGCTTTCCATAGCAAAACCAGCGAAACCCAACAACGAGAGAAGAGCATGATCCACCACCGCTGCAATGTGGAAAATGATCCCCCCTCTTCCTCTGGAGCCAGGGGTTCCCCCATCCGAAAATCCACCCCCCTGCTCGAACCCCTCCCCCCTGGCAAAACTCGCACCCCCACTACCGGTTCGAACCTCCCCCCCCCGGAAAACCGGGGGGGGGGTCACTGCCAGCTCGAACCCTCCCCCCCCACTCGCCGTCAGAAAACGACTCCCGGGTCCCAACCACCGTCCTCACCACCGCCCACATCACTGTCCCCACCACCACCATCCCCACCACTGTCCCACTGTCCCACAGTCCCCAGCACCGTCCCACTGTCCCCGCTGTTCCCACCACTGTCCCTACTGTCCCCACCAGTGCCCCCACCACTGTCGCATTGTCCCCACTGTCCCCACAACTGTCCCACTGTCCCCACTGTCCCCAACTGTCCCCACTGTCCCCACTGCCCCCACTGTCCCAGTCCCCACTGTCCCCACCTCTGTCCCACCGTTCGCACTGTTTCCACCACTGTCCCAACTGTACCACTGCTCCATTGTCCCACCACCGTCCTCACCACCGCCCTCACCACTGTCCCAACCACCACCGTCCCCACCACAGTCCCACTGTCCCCACTGTTCCCACCTCTGTCCCACGGCTTCCTCACCACTGTCACCTCACCACTATCCCAACCACTGTCCCACTGTCCCCACTGTCCCCACCACTGTCCCACTGCCCCCACTGTTCCACCACTGTCCCCACTGTCCCCACCACCACCGTCCCCACCACTGTCGCACTGTCCCCACTGTCCCCACCACTGTCCCACTGTCCCCACCACGGTCCCACTCTCCCCACTTGCCAACTGTCCCCACAACTGTCCCACTGTCCCCCCTGTTCTCATCACTGTCCCACTGTGCTGTCCCTCTGTCCTCACTGTCCCACCACTGTCCCATTGTCCCACAACCGTCATCACCACCGCCCGCGCCACTGTTCCAACCAAGACCGTCCCCACCACTGTCCCACTGTCCCCCTGTCCCCACCACTGTCCCACTGTCCCCTGACCACTGTCCCCACCACCACTGTCCCCACCACTGTCCCACTGTCCCTACTGTCCCCGCCACTGTCCCCACTGTTCCCGACACCGTCCCACTGTTTCCACCACTGTCTCACTGTCCCCACTCCCCACTGTACCACTGTCCCCCCTGTCCCCACCACCGCCCTCACCACCGCCCTCACCACTGTCCCCACCACCACCGTCCCCACCACCGTCCCACTGTCCCCCCGGTCCCCACCACTGTCCCAGTGTCCCCTGACCAGTGTCCCCGCCACCACCGTCCCCACGACTGTCCCACCGTCCTCACTGTCCCCACCACTGTCCCACCACGGTCCCACTCTCCCCACTGTCCCCACTGTCCCCACCACTGTCTCACTGTCTCCACTCTCCACCACCATCCCCGCCACCGTGCCAACCACTGTCCCCACCACAGTCCCCCATCCGGAAAATGGGAGGAAGGAGAGTCGTTTGCCGGCGGCGAAGGGGAGGGGGGAGGGGTTCGAACCCTTTTCATGATGGACCGCGGTGGGGGGTTGGAACCCCCAGTGATCCCCCCGGTTTCTGAGGGGGGGGGACGGGATGGAAACCTCCAGTGACCCCCTTGGTTTTCTGCCAGTAGCGGCAGAACAGGCTCTTCCCCAAGAACACAACGATAAACAGCAAAAGACCAAAAATCCTTTGGGAGGGGACCCAAAGTAAGGAGGGCCAGGCACATTCTGGAGAGGAGGCTTCACTCTTCTGCAGATGCATCGAACCAAACCGCCCAGATCTGTTGCCCCTGATGACGGGGACCCCCCATGAGGCCACGTGTTCATCGCGCTGCTAGGATTGAGGGGGTCCTTTTGTGACTACCTACCAGACCACCCCAACCCAACCCGAAGACCCGAATTTGACTCGAATTTCGGGTTGGGGGGGGTACGGATACCATGTGTTTTTTCAACGTTCCCCGACCCCCCCCCACAGGAAATCGAGAATACATTTGGGCCTTCGGGTTGGGTTGGGGTGGTTTGGTGGGTGGTGATTTTGTGCTCGGTGACTTCGGACACGGAGTTCCGAGGCCACACGGAGCCCCCATCATTTGCGACCGAAGCGGAGTGCCGCTGCGGCGCGCCCCCCTGGCCGCGGAAGCGCGCCGGGAGTGCCGAGCGGCTCGTCGGCGGCGTCGCTCTGCGGCTCGGCGAGCTGCGGGGCCGCGGCGTACCCGGACATCGGGCCTGCAGCGCGGGCGGGCGGGGCAGGAGGATTCCAGCTCCTACGCCCAGACCCCCTCGCGTCGCGAGGTAATCATGACAGGAACTCGTGTGCGAATTTTCGGCTCTGGGGTGCCCTCGCCGGGCTCCAGGGCTGTCAGACAAGGACCAAGTCGGGCTTGATCCCCTGCAGGGGCAGTTTAGAGGAGCCTATCCTGACGAAGGACCAAACCGTACCGCAAGTGTGAACGTCGTTTTCGGTGAAACTCCCTATGGGTCCACGAAGCGCTGCACTGGGTGGGGGGGGCGCATGCGGGCGGTAGCAGTGGGGCCGCATGTGGAGCTCCCTATGGCGCCACGAAGCGCAGTGCTGCTTGGAAATGTTAAAGTGGGCGTGTTGGACGCATGCGGGCGGTCCCACTGGGGGTTTCGGTGGAGTTCCCTATGGGGCCACGAAGCGCAGTGCTGGGTGGGTGAAGATGCAAAATTGAATGTGCGGGACGCATGCGGGCGGTCCCACTGGGGGCTTCACTGAAGCTCCCTATGGGGTCACGAAGCGCTGTACTTGGCGGGAGAGAATGCCAAATGTTACGTGTGGGGCGCACGCGGGCGGTCCCAGTGGCGGCTTCGGTGGAGCTCCCTATGGGGCCACGTAGCGTTGTACTGGGTGTGTGAGCATGCCAAACTGGGTGTGTGGAACGCATGCGGGCGGTCCCGCTGGGTGATTCGGTGGAGCTCCCTATGGGGCCACGCAGCCACGTACTGGGTGGGTGAAAATGCCACATTGGATTTTCAGGACGCGCGCGACGGTGGCATTGGGGCCTTCGGTGGAGCTCCCTATGGGGCAACGAAGCGCTGTAGTGGGTAGGTGAAAATGCCAAAGTGTGTTTTCGGGAAGCATGCGGGCGGTCCCACTGGGGGCTTCGGTGGAGCTCCCTATGTGGCCACGTAGCGTCGTACTGGGTGTGTGTGTGCATGCCAAACTGGGCGTGTGGGACGCATGCGGGCGGTCCCACTGGGTGATTCGGTGGAGCTCCCTATGGGGCCACGAAGCGACGTACTGGGTGGGTGAAAATGCCACATGGGATTTTCATGACGCACGCGACGGTGGCATTGGGGCCTTCGGTGGAGCTCCCTATGGGGCAACGAAGCGTTGTAGTGGGTAGGTGAAAATGCCAAGGGGGGGTTCGGGAAGTATGCGGGCGGTCCCACTGGGGGTTTCGGTGGAGCTCCCTATGGTGCCACGAAGCGCTGTACTTGGCAGGTGGAAGTGCCAAAGTAGGTTTTCGGGATGCATACGGACGGTGGCGCTGGGGCCTTCGGTGGGTTACCCTATGGGGCCACGAAACGCTGTACTGGGTGAGTGACAAAAAAACAAATTGGGTGTTCGGGACGCACGCGGACGGTCCCACCTGGGTTTTTTTGTGGATCTCCCTATGGAGGGTGAAGATGCAAAATTGAACGTGTGGGGCGCATGCGGGCGGTCCCACTGGGGGCTTCGGCGGGGGTCCCTATGGGGCCACAAAGCGCTGTACTGGGTGGGCGAAAATGCCACAGTGTGCTTTCGGGATGCATGCGGGCGGTCCCACTGGAGACTTCGGTGGGACTTCCTATGGGGCCACGAAGCGCTGCACTGGGTGTGTGCAAATTCAAAAACGGGGCCTTCGAGGCGTATGCGGACGGTCTCACTGGGGCGTTCGGTGGAGCTCCCTATGGGGCCACGGGGCGTGCGAGGGGTGTGCCCAACGACGCATGCGGACGGTAGCACGGAAGGTTTCGGGGAGGGAGGGGGAAGGAGGAGGAACGCGGGGACCGTGTTTTCGAAACGAGGGCCCAACAGCACAGGATGGTTTGGTTTCTATATTCATATGCATGTATATATATATACACATACATACATACATACATACATACATACATACATACATACATACATACACACACATACATACATGCATGCATACATACATACATACATATATATATACTCATAAATAAATATAGATATACATATACATATATACAAACCAAACCATCCCAAACATGCGCGAACATATGATATCCCGGCGAAAGGGCCCAACCATGCGCAGTTGTAGGTGCAGCGATTGTGACGATCGTTTTCGGTGAAGCTCCCTATGGGGCCACGAAACGTTGCCTGGGTGAAGGGGGGCGCGTGCGGGCGGTAGCATTGGGGCCGTCGGTGGAGCTCCATATGGTGCCAGTAAGTGCTGTGCTGGGTGGTTGGAAATGTTAAAATGGGCGTGTGGGGCGCATGCGGGCGGTCCCACTGGTGGCTTCGGCGGAGCTCCCTATGGGGCCACGTAGCGCTGTACTGGGTGTGGGGGGGAATGCAGGGCCGTCGGTGAAGCTCCCCATGGGCCCACGAAAGACTATACTGGGCGAGTGCAGATGCCAAATTGGGTGTGTGGGACGCACGCGGGCGGTTCGCACTGAGCCGTCCACCCCACTGTTCGCGCAAACGTCCCACCCACCCACCCGCATCTTGGTTTGCAAAACCCGTGCGGCGGCAATTGCGATGCGTGCTTGGTGTTGGCTGGTGCACCTCTGCGGCCGCGCTAGCCCGCGCATGCTCGCGCGCGCAGAAACCAGCTAGTTTGGCGCGACCGACGCGAACGCGGTGGCGCTGACCGCTCGGCACATCCCAGCGGGCAC